TTCGTACTGGGCTGGTGTATATGAGGTTTTACATATAATGATAGACATCATCTCGAAGTCCAAAAGGCAGTTCCCTAACATCTCTTGTTAAGTAATTTGTATGGCCTTGTGTATGAACTGACAGCTTCATAATTGGCTTCAATACTGTTTGTTGATCCATCTTTTTTAATATTTTAAACTCTAAAATGCTAAGAGATTATTTACTACATGCTCTTTGTAAGAGCAATAGCTAAGAACTATATAATAAGTTACATTGTTCACAGCAGTAGATATGAATTCAAGAGAATCATCTTAGAGTTTTCCAAGCATTTATTATCACCAATGTAGCTAAAACTGCAGGTCATCCCTGCAATGGCTGGTTGTCTTGCTATAATAAAGATCACAGAATCAATGAATTCATCCTTCTATGCCAACTATAATTCCCTATAAGAAAACAAAGATGACTGGCACTACTCTCTGCAATTGACTTCAATATTCTCTTTATAAACTACCACCATCACATGAAGCTATCACTACAAAAGAAAGACATCTATATATATATATATGCTGACTAGATCTGAATTGATCAGTCCTGAGTAGAGTTGAGTGCAAGAGAGACCAAAAGTCAAAAGCCCGAATCCAGTTTGTTCTGATGACCCATAACTATCTATGCTGTCATAATTCTGCATTCCCATAACTTCTTATTTATTGATTTATCCCTCTTTTCTTTCGAATCCCTCGAGTTCCAACGTTGACTTCCTTCCATTGAAAAACCTGAAAGGAAAGATGAGATGTTGAGTGTTAAAAGAAACCATGTATATATGGGGTTCAGTCTGCGTGCCCCTCCCTACAACAGGATATGGATTTCTGTAAAATGAAGACCCAAAGTCAGTGTTGAATTTTGAGCCATTACCATGTGAGATGCATCTACTTTGTTAATCTTTGCATGCGATCTGTAATGCTTTGCCTCTTGTGATGTGAGCTGTCACACCTGTCCATTTTTTTTGGCATGTCGTGGTTAGCAGGTAGCCAGGAACATGCAGCCAAGAGATTGGCATGTGAGCAAATAGAGCAAAGACAAAAAACTAAGCCTCAAAGTTAAAGCTCTAATAATATCTGATATTTTATAAAAGTATAAATAATAACTAAAAACACTGGAAAACAAAACTAAATAAAATTTTAAAATAACTAAAATAATAATTAAAATAAACAAAACTAGAGTCTAATTAAAATTTTAGAAGACCCGTCAGGTTTTTTATGGGAAAATTGAACATAGAATTTATTAAAAAAAAAAACAATTAGTTTATTTAAACCTGATTCAATAATCAAAAATTTTTATTATCGGATTTTCATAAAGTTTCAAGTTTAACATCTACCCCAGCCAGATTTCTTCACAAATCTCATTTCAAATCTAATTCTATCTGCCTTGATCATAAACATGTCATTCTGCCTTTCCTTTTATTTGTTTAATGCTATTATCAACAAGCAGTTCCTCTAAGAAGTTGGAATTTAGCAGAATTTCATCAATTGCAAGCCCAGACAGTGATTAATTAATGTTATCATGATTTTTTTAATTATTATTGAGAATGATTAATCTTGTCGTGTCCCCATGACAATTGATGATCTATTTGAAAAGCGACAACGAGATCAAAGTGCAATCCTGTGGGTCTTTGTGCTAATGTTTGGAGGCCAAATTCTTATCAAGATGAGATTTTGTGCTGGGCTCCTTGGTTGTTAGGTAATTGGATATGGGGCTCACTGGCCCACAAACATATTCAATACCATCCCTGCCGAAGAAGATAATCTCGTGTTGAAACTCCTCCTTAATATTGCTAATCTTACAAAATAATAATAATACTACTAATACTAATAATTTCTCGAGATTACGTGTTCGACAAATCTCAACTTGAAGATTATTGGTAGACCTCTCATTCAATGAGCGATACGAGATTACGTGTTCGACAAATCTCAACTTATTTGAAGTTTATTGGTAGACCTCTCATTCAATGAACGATCTTCTTCGGCACATGATATCTTTTTTATAAGATTTAGCATTTTTAACGAAGTCAGTTAACATTTCGACCTTCTTCTTTTTATTAAGTTATTTATTTATTTTTATACATTTTGTTATTTAGGGCTCTATAACTTTTTTATCCATAGAAAAGCAGTTCTTTTTGTCCGTAATGCAATTGCTGTCCTTTTTGTCTGGAACCCAATTGCCACTTGATATTGAAATGTATCAACACCACGAGCATCCTTTTCATTGAGGACATCCGCTACCTATCTATGTATTTTTATTTTTCAATTATTTTGCATATTTTATTGAATTCTGCGGTTGGTGATTCAAGTTTAAATTAGTAATGGATTCAAGAAATTTTATTTTTTTCATTGTTAATTTTTTTTATAAAATTATTATAAACAACCCTTTAATTCTCTTTTATATTTATAAATTATTAAAGTGATCCACTCTAAAAATTGTAACTTTTATATTTATGAACTTTTAAAATTATTCATTTTAATTATGCAATATTTATATTTATAAACTTGATGTAACACTCATATTTATGAGTTTTTAATATAGTTCATTTTAAGCATATAACATTTATATTTATAAGTTCTTAAAATAATTTACTTGTAACTATCCATGATGTAATAAATATATGGGACATATAACCATTAAAATCTCATAAAAGTTTTATCTATAAATAATATTATTTGATCTCAATACTTACTTACTCAATTCCTTTAAATTTTACATCATTTATATAAAGTAAGTAGAGTTTAGAAGTATTAAATATATATAAAAAAATTAATGAGAAATATTAATGACTAGAGGTATTATTTTATTATTATTCAAATTTATAATTTTATTATAAATATATTTATTCTACGTTATAAAATAGTTAATTAAATTTTACACTTACATCATGTTATGATAAAGTTACGAGCAATACCTTCGAAGGATTAATGAGCACTGTTGTTTTGATGGGCCATCACTTACGAGCACTGGTCGCAAAGACATTGGATATTATTTTCGAGATCAAAATCCATTTAAAAGATCTATTTCCTAACCTCTTATAATTTATTTTTATAGAACCACTCCAGATTGCTCGAGATTTTAGCTATTTCCCCTTATTTCCGTATTTATTCTGGATTTTGTGTTATTGCTGTTTCATAGTTAGCTCATGATCAGCTAGGACACAACAGCCAACCACACCCTCCTCTAACCTTCACACATTCTCCCTCCTGCAATTTCCAACATTAATATAGACGAAAAAGAAATAAAACCCATGTTCAGTGAAAATCCAAGAATTAAACTCACTACAGAGCTTTAATGTATACCAAGAAGTTTCATCGAGTGTAGGATTGCACAAACACCTCAGAAAACAAAATACATTGATGATGGATTCTTTGAGAAAGCATTCATGATTCTATTTGCTAGGAGGATGGAGAAGTATGCAGCTCCTGCAAAAGATGTTACTGAGAGTAAAGAGAAAGGGTGGTTTGATTATGATTATGACAGTTTTGTGAACTGGTCCATATTCAACATTCTATAAAATTCTGTTCTAATTTTAAGTGTAACACAGATAATCAAGGACATGTTTCTTTATTAAGATTTCTTTGTATTCCAAATTGCCTAAAGGGAACTCTGCTTTATTAATTCGTTTGCAATGCAAGCTACTTGATGAGTTCATCAAATTTCCCAATACTAATTGTAAGCTCAAGAAATTCCTTCTCAAGAAGGTACCTTGAGAATAGTGGACGTGTAGGAATGTGCATGAACAAGTGCAAGATTCCTGCTCAAGACTTCTTCACTAATGAATTTGGGCTTCCATTAACTATGATTCCTACTAAGTCAGTGTTTAGCCGTTTCAAACTGAGATTTATGCACATTATCAATTGAAACAGGTGAATTTGAAGCAAACACTAAACTCTGTATCATGTGTCTATGGATTTGTTTTGCTACCAGATCTTGAAGACATGGGTTTCGAAATGGCTTATGCACATGTTCCACCCCCATTTAAAGAAGATCCAGTAGAAAACAGCCTTGCCTTGCAGATATTCTGTTGATCACGTAGTTTCTAACAGAAGATCTTGAATGAATGAAGTCAAACGCTAACAAGCTAAGTGTTCACAATAATTACATAACAAAGAACAAAGAATAAAAGTACAGGTTCATTTGAATACTCTGAACAAATATTTTAAGGAAACCTCTCGCTTTTATCCACTTTGACAAAGCTACTTATGGTACGATTTAGTGTTTTTGCACCTTTCCCTTTCTTTTTTTATACTTTACATGGTTTCCTTGTGAATCTTCAATCGGTGCCTCAAACGTTTTCTGGAACCAACATTTAGTTTCGAGCAACAGGGGTTACTCAAAGAATGTTGTCTCTTTAATAAAGATGACCCTCGAGTGCACAAATTACTAACTCAAAAAGTTTTCCTCTGAACCAGTCCAATCTTTAGGCTCCTGTCCACTCAGGACTTCACAAATCAAGCCGCTCATATTGCAAACAACATGGTAATTCCTACCCACAATATTGTAAAATCTTTGACCAACGATGTTAAATTTTTATCATGAATGAATTTTTTTTGGACACGTTTTGATATTAAAAATATTTTTAAAAAAATAAAAAATTACAATAAAATATTTCTAAACAAATAATACTTGGAAAATCAATATTCACCCCAGTCTAACCGGACAGTAAGGCCAATCAGATGAGTCATGGAATTATTGTTGGACTGGATTGACCTTTAACTAGTAAAATTGTTCATACAGATGGCTGGTAACCAACCTGTGTGTGATAACTGATAAGCCTCACCTTGGCTCTGTTGAGTCTCATGTGATTTTGACTCTATACGTATCCGTGACTTCAATGCTAAAGACAAGATACATGTCCACCAAAATCCAGTACCGCACTCCACCTTCCAGCCATTAATTACGGTATCCGAGGTCACAAAAATCCGAGCAGTCTTTAAGACCTTGGCATGATTATATTTATCAACTCTCTTCTTCTAGATAACCCACTATTTTAATGCACGAGAACTGTCATTTAAGGTATGAAACATGAATTTTTGCCTTTTGCTGTGTTCTTTTGAATATCATGTCTACGACTTTCAGGTTTACTGTATTAAGCATTTTGGATAAGTTTCGCGTATGCTGTTGTCTCTACAGCAAAATGTCCAAATTTTGCGCAGTTGATCCCGTGACTAGCATGAATCTCTCTCTTAACGACCAACGAACTCTCAAACTTCCTGCAACTCCTGTCTATAAAATGGCAGCTCCTCTTCAATATAGTTCAGACCCACAAGCTCTAGAATCCTATACATTGCAGTAGGTATAGCACAGACTCAATAGTGTGGAGCCTCGTGGGAATATGGCTATTGCTACTGCATTTTCACTGAAGTTGCAGATTTTGTTCATTATTTTTTGTTGTCGTAGCTATTTCAGCACTGCCTTTACTTCTCAAGATTATGCTGATGCTCTTGAAATGTCCATCCTCTTCTTTGAGGGTCAGAGGTCAGGAAAACTGCCATCGAACCAACGGCTAACATGGAGGGGGGACTCTGGGTTGTCTGATGGCTCTGCTTATCACGTACTATTTCAAATTCTGCTATAAATTAACTTCCTGTTCATGAATATAATAAAATGAAGATAGCAGGACTGATTATCCTGGTTTTACTATTTTGTGGATTTCAGGTGAACCTAGTTGGTGGATACTACGACGCAGGTGATAATGTCAAGTTTGGCCTTCCAATGGCCTTCACCACTACATTGTTGGCATGGAGTGTCATTGAATTCGGTAGCTCGATGCAGAATCAGATTACGAATGCCAAAGCAGCCATTCGATGGAGCACTGACTACCTTTTAAAAGCGGCCACTGCCACCCCTGACACACTATATGTTCAAGTGAGCATGCATAATGAAATTCTGTAAATTCTGCACATAAAACCATAGAAATGCCCAATACCCTCAAATAATAAATTAAGAATTTTGCGAAATGGCGTTACAGCAGCTGGAAAATTGCACTCTTGGATAACAGCAGGGGCCAGTAGGCAAAATAGGTTTCTGCGTTCTTGATAATTTCAAATGGGACTTAGATGTACGCTGGATGGTGCAGGTTGGAGATCCGAACATGGATCACCGGTGCTGGGAGAGGCCAGAAGACATGGACACACCACGCAATGTGTACAAAGTAACCATCCAGAACCCGGGATCTGATGTGGCTGCCGAGACAGCTGCTGCATTGGCTGCAGCTTCAATTGTTTTCAAAGAGTCTGACACTTCTTACTCCACCGAACTGCTTCATGCAGCAATGAAAGTAGGCATCCATTGTCACTAAATCGATTGTTCACTACCTGTCAGCTTCTGCACTTGCAAGAAATATCTAATTGTGATTATGCAGGTATTCGATTTTGCAGACAGGTATAGAGGATCTTACAGCGACTCTCTCAATTCCGCAGTCTGCCCATTTTACTGCTCATACTCTGGATACCAAGTAAGATTGTCTTTCAGTTCTTGGCTTTCTAAAGTCAATCATAATAGATCTTAACCTAAGTTTGTCGATTCAGGATGAGCTTCTCTGGGGTGCATCGTGGCTTCATAAAGCCTCGCTGAATGGAACATACTTGGCTTACATCCAATCAAATGGTCACACAATGGGTTCCGAAGATGATGACTACTCCTTTAGTTGGGATGACAAGCGACCCGGGACTAAGATTCTCCTTTCCAAGGTTCTATAGTATACAGATCTCCTGCTTCACCTACATAATATTAGAAAACATATAAAGCTTGAACTTTGTGGTTCAACAGGAATTCTTGGAGAAAACTACTGAAGAATTTCAGTTATATAAATCGCATTCAGACAACTACATATGCTCTCTAATTCCAGGCACTCCTAGTTTCCAGGCCCAATACACTCCTGGTGGGCAATTTTTTCATTATTTCAGTGATACTAACAAGAAAACTTAATGCTAGTGAATATGACAGCATTTCCATGTGCTTTGCAGGGGGGCTTTTTTATAAAGCAACCGAAAGCAATTTGCAATATGTAACCTCCACTACTTTCCTTCTATTGACGTATGCTAAGTATCTTGGCTCAAATGGAGGAGTTGCCAAATGCGGTGGTTCAACCGTGACAGCAGAGTCACTCATCGCTCAGGCGAAGAAGCAAGTGGACTATATCTTAGGTGATAATCCAGCAAAGATGTCTTACATGGTTGGATTCGGTAACAAGTATCCACAACATGTGCATCACAGGGGTTCCTCGGTGCCATCTATACATGCACACCCGAACCGCATTTCCTGTAACGATGGGTTTCAGTACCTCTACTCCAGCTCTCCCAATCCGAATGTCCTTGTTGGAGCCATAGTAGGCGGTCCTGATAACAGAGACCATTTCGCTGATGATCGAAACAGCTATCAGCAATCCGAGCCAGCTACATATATCAATGCACCATTTGTTGGCGCTCTTGCTTTCTTCTCAGCCAAAAACTAATAGCAGTTCTATTATCCGCATATTAGTGGTATCTATAGATGTAATGTCGGAAAAGACATTCTCACAAGAAAGCTGTTAGAGAGAAATTTAGTGTATTTGACATGTGGTATCATGCTTGTCAGTTCAGTTCCGGAACACACCGAATTGAATCCTAGATTTGGCCATTTAATTTCCTTGTGATCTTTTAAGAAGCTGAGGCAACTACTTACCTGCTAAATCCATGAGAAATTGCTGCATATTTTACCTAGAACTTCATGAGAATATTTAACAAGATAGGGTAAGCAGGATTGGAAACTAGTACGCAACTTTCTGAGTTGAGGGTCCTCCCAGTGTGTGACGAGACCACACCAGGAGGCAAGAGCAATGAGAAACCTCCGTTCATTTCACGTTCCATTAATCTATTTCCTCCGATCTTCATAATTCAGTGGCCTTGTGTACTTCTTCCTAATCCTATTTTCCCCATCAAAGTTGGCACTGAACCATTGTTAGGATCATTTGGCACTAAAACAGGAGGAGCATCAAATCATTGCCAATATCGAAAATTGTTTGTTGAAACGAGATTTACCGGATGATTAACAATATAAGCTTTAGAAATCACCGTTAATTAATGAGAGAAACCTCAAATTGGTCTCTTAACTATGAAACAATTATCAATTTAGCCCTTGAAGAAAATATTATTGATAAACTATTTATAAAGGAAAAGGACCCACAAAGATCAGAGATTCAGACGTAAATACCATGATAAACCACCCAAAAATCAAATAAACAGAAAGAGAGACATGAAAGATTTCACAAAATCAATCAAAACCAAATTATAAAATCAATTGCAAAAGCTATAAAAAACTTGGAGACAATTAGGTAGATAATCAAACAGGAGATTGTAATTTTATGATGAAAATCGAGAAAGAAAATAAGAATTTCTAATTAGAATAAAGAAAGAAAATTGAACATTGAAGAAATTGTCTTTCTAGAGATTGATAGTAGTTTAGGGACTGATTTTAGATATATTTTTTTCTCAAAGAAAAACAGAGTCTTTTTTAACTGTTTCTTTTGTTACTTTTCTCGAGAACATGCTCAGCGCTCTCATGTTGCCCAGATGAAAGTACATTTTATCAGGACCGACATAGGAAATTACTTAAAATCCAACAATGATGATAAAAGAGGAACAACATTAAAATAAATAAATAAATAAAAACCCTGCTAATGATAATTAAAAAAAATCATTCGCTAAGCAGAGAAAAAAATAATAATTACAAAAATCTTCTTTCATTTGAATTTTACTTTTCCTTTAGATTTTTATAAATTATATTTTCTATCTTTTAATTTATATATTTAATAACAATTTACATTTCAACCATGCATTTTATTTGGATCTGTTATTAATCTAGAATATAAAATGCAATTTATAAAAATACAAATAAAAAATAAAATTTAGATGAGATATTTTTGTAATTAAAAAAAATAAGAAAATCATTAGCCAATCGGACAACGCGGAGAGATCGGGAGCTGGGAGCAATAAACAAAAGTACAAAACTACATTAAAATAATTACCATTACCTTTAATCTCCACCTAGGAATCCACATCTAAACCAAGGCCCAAATACAGCCGACAAGGCTTGAATTTTCTAATCTTCTCTGTGCATCTCTCTTTGGAACTATCAAAACTTAAAAATAAAAAACAAATTTTGCATATAGTTGATTTGTTACGTAAATCAAACCGAGAAATTACCTCTTAAGAAACTCCGTTGAATCTTCACCTCCCCAGGCAGCCTTTTCCCTTCCTCCCTCCAGCTTGGGGGTTGTAAATATTTAATAAAAATAACTAAAAAAATTTCTGGATCTCTCTAATTTATAATTTGCTCCCTAATTTTTTTTTCTCGCCCCGCCCATCCTCCCTCCTTCACGCAAGCTTCTTGGATGTCAAATTGGTAATTACTAAAAAACCCCAACCCAATCTTCTAATCTTACTCAAGACTTTTTCATCTTAAATCCTCTTTGTTTGTTTAAAATAATTTTTTTAAAAAAATTATTTTTAAAAAAATAAATTATTTTTTGATATTTGATATTGTTATAAAAAATAAATTAAAAAATATTTTTTAGTATTTATCAAATATAAAAAAATAATTTTAAAAAAAATTAAATTCCTAAAAAAACAAGACATTAATAATTATTTACGATTCCATCATCTTTTTTCTTTTTTTCTTTAGCTCCCAGATTCCTCAAGCTCTCTCTCTCTCTATCTCTCTTCTTCGTGACGAAGTTATATCTTATTTCAATTTATTCATATCTAGACTTATATATATCTATTGGATATCAATGAAAGTCGAAGAATAAAAAAATTCGAAACCCTTCGAGATGTTTGGTGCTTAAGAAAGTAAAGTTTGTGTAACTGTTTGGGTTTTTGAATTCGAACTTTAAGAACGTAATATTAGGAAAAAAAAAATATGATAAAAAGATTTGGCGTAACAGCCTCACAGGTCTAGAAGGTGGAAAAGAAAGGAGGTGGCAGGCCGTAACGAATACCAATTACCAAACAAAGATTAATAGAGCAACTCACCCCTATGTATGTATGTATCTATATATGTATGTATGTATTATTTCCTTCAGCTTCAAGCATTGACCGACACGACGCAAACGATAAATAAAATACAGATCAGAACTAATTCAGGTTCCACCAGATCTGAGAATCGAATTCCCTCTTTCTTAGATCCATGGCTACTCGCTTCACCCTCTTCTCCCTTTTCACTTCTCTTCTACTCTCCCTCTCCCTTGCTGAGATCCGTTTCTCCGATATCCGATCCGATGACCGTCAAATCATCCCTTTCGACGAATTCGGGTTCACCCACTTCGGCCGACTCGAACTCAACGTCACAAACATCCGCCTCTCTAACCCTAACCCCGATCTCGACCGATCCAAAATCGGGTTCTTTCTCTGCACTCGTGATTCCTGGCTTCACGTTATTAACCAACTTGAAGATGGTGAAATCACGTGCGCTCTCCAATCGGATCTTATCAAGCCCGTTTTCACTTTCAACGACCTCAAGAAAGGCCATGACAACCACTCCAAGATTGTAACTCAAAACGACGCCGATCAGTACACGCTTGTGTTCGCCAATTGCTTGACGTCGTTGAAAGTCTCCATGGACGTCAAGTCGGTCATGTATAATCTCGATCGAGGCGGTAAAGTTCGTGACTATTTGTCGGCGGGAAAAACTATTTTGCCGCGGGTTTATTACTTATTGTCGCTGATTTATTTCGGTTTAGTTGGTGTTTGGATTTATGTTTTATATAGGAAACGGCTTACTGTCTATCGAATTCATTTCTTCATGCTTGCTGTGGTAATCTTAAAGACAGTGAATTTGTTATGCGAAGCTGAGGATAAGAGTTACATTAAGAGAACGGGTTATGCCCATGGATGGGATGTTTTGTTTTACATTTTCAGTTTTTTGAAGGGGATTACGTTGTTTACTTTGATTGTTTTGATTGGTACTGGGTGGTCGTTTTTGAAACCGTATTTACAAGATAAAGAAAAGAAGGTTTTGATGATTGTGATTCCATTACAAGTTGTTGCCAATATTGCCCAAGTTGTTATTGATGAGACTGGACCATATGGGCAGGATTGGATTACATGGAAACAAGTGTTCTTGCTGGTTGATGTTGTTTGTTGTTGCGCTGTTTTGTTTCCGATTGTTTGGTCCATTAAGAATTTGAGGGAGGCTGCAAGGACGGATGGAAAGGCGGCGGTGAATTTGATGAAGCTGACTCTGTTCAGGCAGTATTATATTGTGGTGATTTGTTATATTTACTTTACAAGGGTTGTGGTTTATGCGTTGGAGACAATTACTTCTTATAAGTATTTATGGACGAGCGTGGTGGCTGGAGAATTGGCTACTTTGGCATTTTATGTCTTTACTGGGTATAAGTTTAAGCCAGAAGCACATAATCCTTATTTTGTTGTGGATGATGAAGAGGAAGAGGCTGCAGCTGAGGCTTTGAAGCTAGAAGATGAGTTTGAGCTGTAACTTTGGAGTTCGAAGAAGATGGACATGTCAAGAATTCGAGGTAGATACTTGAACATTGCCACAGTAACTTTGCTTACATTGGATGGTTTACTGTGTGGTTTTCTTAATTTCTTGTTGATGTGCTTTATTTTGGTTTTTGGGTTAGTAGAATAGTTTTATAAATTTCATGTATCTCCGTGAAAGTGGATATTCAACAATATGTACAAGCTATTGAAGTAAATTGGGCACTGTTTTGACAATTTTTCATGTTTGATTCCGTTGTGTGTGTTTTTGCGTGAAGTAGCATACAAGTGTTGAGTTTAGGTGAATCTGTGCACTTTGGAATTGAAAATTGGAGATTGATTTTTCTTAAATGATAGAATCTTGGTGGATTTAAGGGAAATACGCAACACCAGTTTCTGAGACTGATATGTCTTGCACATAGTATTTTGGTGGGTGTTCAGCTAGATGCATGCTTATCTTTGAATTCTGAGTATGGCTTATATGCATCTGTATGACCACCATAATAGGCACGCCTTATAAAAGTATCTTCATTCTTGTTTGGAATGTGAATTGGAAAATTAGAAACATCGGAGTATTTCAAACGAAAAATGCTTGGAGGCAATGATGAAAGGGTAATCTTGCTTTTTATATCAATCTTGTAGAGCTTCCAATATATCTCTTGAGCTTTATGCATTACACCTCCAAGTGAAAGAATGTCCTGCTTCATATCATCTAACAAGCTTTTTTTTATACTTGCCAGGCAGAGAATGATAGCTTCGTTAGTGTAAAAGAAAACCTGTTTCATAATAAAGTTATCATAAGAGCCTGTGTTCATGCCAAGTAGCTATTTGATTTACGTTCTGTTTCCTGTTGACAAAAACATTTGTACAATCCTTAAATCTTGAATTGATCCATGAATTCTTGTTTCCTTAGATCGGTGGTAATGGTTTGTTGGACTTAGTTTCTTGGACAATCTCAGTGCATTTCTGTTAGATTGATCCATAGGGAAATGGTTGCAATGGTTTGTTGCTTATAATGCATTTGATGCTTTAACTATTTGGGAGTTTTGTCATGCTCTTACTATATAGACAATTCGAAGAGAGGGAGTCACCTCTTGTTTTGAGTGTTACGTATAGGCTAGTTTATAACACGAGAATCTTGATGTTGATATGTATTTACTTGGAATTCTTATTTAGAATATGCCTGCCATGTAATGTCATTTTAGAATCGACGGTAACCTTCTTGCTATCAAGATGCATGCTGGTGTTAGTTGTTGACTATTCTGCGTACTGGTTCTTCCGTTGTCAATGGGCCGGAGAATGGTCGTGATGATCATCCTATGTTAAAGAGTATTTTTCTTTCATTAAGAATTATATGCATGTTGGAGCCGTATTCCAAATATTGTCCAAGAGGTGTAAGGTTGGGGTAGCGTTCTCTTCTTTCGCATTTCTGTGCAAAGCTTTAGATCAACTCGGGTACTGTCGAGCAATTAAGATTCTTGCCGGGCCTCGTGACTTGATTAGGTTTTCTTTCTTCGTAAAATGTTTTTATCAAAATAATTTCATAATACACAATTAAGAAATTATATCTGTTACGATTGAAATCTAATAATAAAGAATTATATATGTCAAATTGATTTCAATTAATAAAGCCAGGATTTATATGATAAAAACTTATAATCTAATTTGACAATGAATTAAAAAAAATTAAAATCCAAAAGATTAAGATTCTATATTGGTATTGATGTCTTCGACTCCATAAAAGTAGAAAACCCAACCAATAAAATGCGAAAAAGTTAACTTAGACTCTGCAAAAAAGTTCACTTGAAGTCTAAGTTTAACTTAATTAATCGATCATGTTTTAAAATTATTTTTAAAAAATTATTAATTTAAATTTTATAAATTTTAAAATTATTAAAAATTTATATAACTATAAAACTTATAAAATTAGTTGATATTTAAAATTAGTTCAGATACGCCCAGATATCCATGTTGAAAAAGTCCCCACACGTCACACATCTTATACCAGATCAACGGTGATTAAAAATTTAAAACCCAGCTGTCCACCAACTCCCCTCCTACTCCTCCAATACAGCACACCAAAACAAGCAGCTTCCTCTCCCGTAGCAAGTCCATCGCTTGCGGGAAAGAAAAAGATTTTTGTCTTTCAACAACATAAAAACCGCGTGCTCTCATGGCTGCCGTTAATACCTCTCTCTCTCTCTCTCTCCATATCTATTGAAGCCATAAAAATCTTTCTTTGAACAACCCCGCAACTTCATTTCATACTTGTAGTTTGCTGCAAGTCTACAATGTGTAGAACCACGGACTTTCATGGGCTGCAATCAAGAACCCGAGAAAAGCACTTGAAGATTAAATCTTTTTACGTCCGGTTCACTGGTCCTAGACCCAATAACAAACCGGTACCCGAGTCACTCACTCTTGTTTATCTCCCTCGTGCTCATGATCCTGTCAGTGATGGGTCCAAGTTTCGACCCGAGACTAAAGCGTTCTTAGGTCTTCATAGGATTGTTAATGTGGATAAAAATGAAGGAGATGGAGAGGTTATGTTCGGGTCAAGAGAACGGGTTCGGGTCAACGAAGGGGTTCGGTTTGAGGTTTATTTAAGAGAAGAGAGGGTGCTGGAGGGGATTTTCAGAAGAGATGCTGACTTGGAAAGGTGGAAGTTGGAGTGTTGTGGCGGTGGAGGCGGTGATGACGCTAGGGTGGTGGAGGTTCGTGTGGCGGCGGAGGGACTGGTAGTCTTGGTTGAGAGGGTGGTGACGGGGAAAAGGAAGAGCAAAAGAGGCTGTGATAGGCTGGAGGTGATTCCAGAGGATAGAGAGGTCGTTTCGGATGAATCGGATGGTGGATGTTATTGTGGTTGTGACGGGAGGGGATTCTCGTACGGTGGAGATTTGGAAGAGGGGTGCGGGCGAGATTGTGCAGAGGTAGAGATGGAAATGGAGGTTGTCAGATGGGCTATTGATGTTGGGGTTTGGGTCATGTGTTTGGGTGTGGGTTACATGATTTCTAGAGCTTCTGCTAAAAGCTTCAGATTACTTTGAAGAGATTTGGATCTCTTGTGGTTTCTCCAATTTTTTCATGTTTTTCCAAACTTACGCAATTGGGAAAGCTAAACTGTAGGATTTTCCATAAACTGTGGCATTTATATGACATATAACCGGGATAGTTGTTTAGACTATCAAGTAAATAGGATTCGTAGTATCAGAATACTTGATACTTGATGACCGAGTTATTAAATTTTTATGTGCTTTCAAGTTTTGAGAATAAATATACAATTTGTAAGATTTTCAAAGTTGTAATGGCGAAAAGTTAATGATGGATTAATATTTGAATTTATTCTATATATTGTTTAGATTTTCTAATATGATTTAATTTATATTCTTTTTGTTTAGTAGGATAATGTATTTAGATAACTTTTTGTAATATGATTTATTATTGTATTTGATTTTATTGGGAAGATACTTGTATATAAATGGAAGTTACTGAAATATAGTATAAATCTTACTTTTGTTCCATTAAGTTGGAAGTTTTAGGAATATTAGCAGGCTTTTTGTAATGTGTTTTCTTTATTTATTACGTTTATTTTTCTAATACATGATGGTGTAAATATCAATTCAAATGCATTTTCAAGGAGATAATTCCGCTATTTATAGCTCTCTGTTTTTGGTATCAATTCTTCACTGCTCTGCCATGAACAGAAGCCAACCACCTTGCTTTATTATTTTTCTTTTCTTTTGTGGTATACCTCGTTAGTTCAAGCTCTCTGTTGCCTTCGGAGTCCGAATAGAATAAAGAAAAGGAGACAACCTTTTTCATTTTTTTCAAAAATTAACAAAAGGCCATTTTCATCTTTCACTTTGTTTTTTCTTCAGTGAAAGAACCGGATTCATTTCTTCTCTCCCCCCTCTTTTTGGTTCCTAGGAGTCCAGGACAGTAAAAGCAAGACGAGAACTCGGAGAAGACCTTTTACAAGTGTAAAAATATCCAACCTGTAGCCAGTTAGATCATAGAATATATCATTGTCAAATAATTAATAATAACAGAACCTGTGGTAACATTTAATTTTAATATATCTCGAGAAGTGAAGGTGATGATGATCAAGCAGCAGCCTAGACAATTCCATGAGTGAATCCAGTCCTCGAGACCCCACCACCACCACTTGCACGAGCTGGAAATTGTACGAGGATTCATTTTATAATTCACAACATGATATCCATCATCAACAACATTTTCAAAGTAAAAAACATCTTCGTCACCTACACCTCCTCTTTCAGCTCGTAAGATCGCAGCTTCTTTCTGGGATACCTATCATGGACACTGAGCTACATTTCGCTCGAGCCCGGATCCTGGAATTGAAAGCTGAACTTGAATATGAACGCAAGGCACGAAAGAAGTTGGAGACTATGAGTAAAAGACTGGCTAAAGAATTGGCTGAAGAAAGAAGAGGAAGGGAAGCACTTGAGAGAGTTTGTGAAGAGCTTGCTAGAGAAATCTCTTCTGATAAAGAGGAGATTGATCACATGAAAAGAGAAATGGGAGAGGAAAGAGAGATGATAAGAATGGCTGAGGTCTTAAGAGAAGAAAGAGTTCAAATGAAGCTTGCAGAGGCGAAAATGCTCTTTGAAGAGAAGTTGTTAGAATTGGTAGGAACAGCTACACAGGCAGAGCCTCACCAGAATTCAACTTCCAGAATGGAACAGAAGAGTCAAGAAGATAAAGAACCTGAAATCGCAACTCCTTTAAAGACTACAGCTATTTTGTCGGGCAAGTTAAACAGGTTAGTTTTGGGTGAGAAATCCTGTTATGACAACAGTGAATCGACAAGGGCGATCTTGAGTGAAAAGTCATCTTTCAATGATAACACTAGTAGCATTTCATCAATGGTAATTCAGAGAAGTAGAGCATCACCAGAACCTGAGAATCCTCACATCAAGAGAGGGATGAAGGGGTTTGTCGAATTCCCTAGAGTGGTTCGAGCAATGGGGTCCAAAAACAAGCATCGGGGCACAAAGTTCGAGTGTCAAAAGGCACAGCCAAGGATTCTATTGAAACAAAAAAGCCCCGTCAGATCCAATAATCTTATTGTTTCGTAACTAGTTATTTTCACCTCCCTTTGTGTTTGCTTAGTTCTTTGTGCTCTCTTAATCTGCAATCACTATCAATTGTCTTCTTGATTTTTGTTTTGTCAAATGAGTTGTGTTTTCTGGGCTTGTTAGTGTCGACAGAGTGTGAGTATTGATGATGTGTATATGAGCTCTACTTGAAATATTAAAGGCCATGAAATTAGAAAAGGGTTGCTTTGGATCTGTCCAAGCCTCTCTAAAGGGGCTGGCTCATCTTTTATTTTATGAAGGCATCTTTATCAATGTGCACTGTTGCACATGCTTGACTTTTAATGCAAACAGTTGATATTGACATGAATAAAAAGGAGTAAGATCCTTTTGGAAGATCATGGGAAGGGGGGATGCTTTCAGCTAGCTTTGACATTTGTCAAGTATTAGAAAACAAACCAACCCGGGAGGGATTTGAGATCAACTATGAAAAAATATACGAAAATTTAGCACCAAATTGAACTTAAAGCCTATCATTCAAGCTATAACACATGTTATTACCTTCTTCTCCGTTGCTCGGACTTTCATCAGCGCTTCGTACCCATGTCGACATGACATGGGTATGGGTATGGGTATGGGTATGGAATACGTGTCTGACAGCACGCCAAAACTACGGACACGGCTGTGACAGAAATCAGGAGAGAGAGAAAAAAAGAAACTGTTGATCGCGCCAAGAACAAATGGGAAGAAGAAGACGAAGCTGTTTATTACCTCTATTTCATTTGATAACGTGAAAATGATCGTTTTTTTTTTATACAATGAGAATAGTTATTTTTTAAAAATTTTATTTTTAAATAATATTTTTTATCTTTTATAATATAAATACATTAAAAATAATTTAGAAATATAAAAAAATTAAAATTTTACAAAAATATTTTCTAATGTGGGCATATATTACCTGAAAGGATGAAATATATAAATATCCAGCCTCTTTTTACAGAGGCTCGGTTTTAAAAGATATAATTTGGCCCTTAATATTCAAGCTATTTTGATCCTGTTAAATTGAAATTATATTTAGTCTTAAAGCATGGTTTTGGACTGGGCCATGTAAATTATTCAACCCAGGTATGTGTAAATGTATTAAATTTGCGCATACAAATATATATTAAATTGAAGGACTTCCACACCCGAGTCCGAAATTCAGACACTTTTTAGCCGTGTTACGGCGGTGTCTTTATAATTTAGCGAGTTCGACATCTGCATCCATACCCGTGTCTGACACTCACACCCAAGTGGTCTGAGCAACATAGCCTTCATCTATATTGCATGATTGTGTTATTGGTGGGGTTTTTTTTTGAGTGACCATCAATGATTCTTGTTAATTTTTTTTCACACTTCTGCATACTTCCAGTGCTTTTATCTTCTTTAGATTCCATCCCTGATAGCATAGATTAATTTATGCTGTATGATCACAGGAAGAGGTTCCTGGAAAGGTAGAAGAAAGTGAACACTCTCTAATGCCTATTATGCTGATGCACACAGCTTGTGGACTAGAACTGCATCCCTGAAGAACACAGTTCTGGTGCTAGTGAAGAAAACATCGTGTATGAACATGATTTTGGAGAAACTGATGCGGGTAATAGCGACTATTATAATGATATGTATTTCGAAAATGAAGAGGATGATTTTAGCTACGCTGAGGATTATGACCGAGGCATGCCAACGCAGATTTTTGTTTTTTCCCTGTATTGTAAGATTTTGTCATATTCATTAATGGTCAGTTTACACTGGCCACCATTAGTCCTTTTGATTCCTTTAACCTCCATTATGATCATTTCTACGCCATCTTTATATCATTTTGGATATTAATATTGCCCCTTTTCTATTTCTTGAAGATGAAGCAATGCTAAAAAATGATAGTGAATGCACAGGGTTATGAAGTGAAGTTAGGTCCCAAGCACTCGACTGAGGTCACATATGGTGATAAGGCTAGTGGGAATGTCACTGCTATTTTATATAGCTCGATGCACCGAACAACAGTGGACTTGGTTTTCGTGGATGCTCTCGTCATCTTAAGCAATATTGCTTTCACGCATCATCTCCTTCTTCTTCTTCTTCTTTGTGTGTGTGTGTGAAGATGACAAACTCACATGCCCTTTGTGTATAGGTAAAATACACTTAGAATATGTGTATAGTCAGCTCGATACGACTATGAATTGAAACAAGATTTATGAGTATGATTGATGGTCACAAGGATCGAGGAAGAGGGACTTTTGTGTATTATGAGAGGTGAGATTTGACCATGATCACATAAATTCACATAACTCTTATCCATGATTGAGAATCATTGAATACCCAAAATACATAGCATTAAAACTAAATATTTTGTCAGAGAGCAAGAACTTCGAAAATAATTAAAGCAGATATATAATATATATTCTTCAATATAAATGGAAAAGGTCAGATTACAAGATTCAATAGGCTCGAATCATAGGTTAGCATAAGGAAAAGTCTGCCATAAAGACGCTTAATAAAGCTTCTTAGGTCTAGACTAGAGATGATGGATGATTCTATGAAATTTGAAATAAATCAGGACGAGATCGAGGAATATTTAAGAAGAACTAGCATGTGTCGTCTGGCAAAGAACATGGTGGATGTTGTAACCTAATTTTGGATAGCGACAGCGAATATGGGGTTAGAGGAGGTAATAGGCGCCTATTGGCAAGGCCCCAGCAAATTATTACTCGTCGAAAATTAGTGCAGTCTTCATATTGTACGGTTTGAGTTTAGAAAGTCTAAGCAGCCAAATTAGAGTATTTCAAAATGCTTTATTTCATGGACAAATAAGGTGGCAAATATCTTTCAGTGCTAGCCTTTTAAAGAAACTACATGGAAATTTGATTTGATATGATTTAGATGGAAAGTTAAAAAAAATAATATGGGTGATCTATAAAAATATAGATTGGTAGAGAAAAAATCAAAATAATATTTTAATAAAATATATATTAAAATAACATGTTATATTAATTTTATTAATTTGGTTTAATCTAACAAATCCACTACTCAGATCATTAGATCATGATAATCCTATAAAAATTTATTAAATTTAATTTTTAATTAATTTAATATTAAATGATAAAATTAAAAATAAATTTAATTAAAAAATAAATCAAATTAATTTGGATTAAACCATTGAACTTGAGTTATAAAATCAAGATAACTTAGAGAAAAAAATTAAAAAATATGAAACTTAATTCTCAATCAATACAATATTTAAGAATGAAATTTAAAAAAAATAAAAAAAGAACACAAAAAACCATATGAGTCAATAAAAATCAACTAATCAAACTCATGACCTGGGTTCTGAAATCATAATAACCTTATAAAACATAAATAAAATTAATTATAAAGTTTAATTCTTAACTAACTAAATATTAAAAGATGAATTAGAAAAAAAATCCAACTAAAAAAACCCCAAATCAACCGACACCTACGACTTCGGGTCATAAAATTGTAATAATCCAATAAAAAATAAATAAATTATAAATTATAAAATTAAATTCTCAATTAATTCAATATTGAAAGATTAAATAGAAAAAAATAACAAATAAAAAAGGACAAAAAGTGATTATAGTCTATTTGGGTTAATTTGTCAAACTTAGGTTGGAAAACGAGAATAACTCGGGTTAATTTGTCAAACTTAGGTTGGAAAATGAGAATAACTCTATAGAAAACAAATAAAAAATTATAAAATTTAATTTTCAATTAACCTAATATTAAAAAAATAAATTATAAATAAAATTATAAAAATTAATTTTTAATTAACTTAATATTAAAGGATGAGATTGAAAAAAACTTAACTAAAAAAAAAATCAACTTACTTAACCTGTGATTTAACTATAATAACCTATAAAAATAAATTAAAATATTATAATAATTAATTTTTATTTAATTTAATATTAAAAAATTAAATTTAATAAATAAATAATAACTCAAATCAACTTAATTTATTCACGTGTCAAGATCTTTCGGTCAAAGTTCCCTTCCGTGTTTGTAGACTAATTTCTGCCCAAACATAAAATAATAAATACGGTATTTTCCCAAGTCTTTTTCGAGCTTTATTTAAAAGTTTTTATTTCTCGATCGAGTAATGAAAGCCCAACAATCAATGACTTACTTTGCAAGCTTTCACATAAAGATACTATTTCACATTCAGTATATTTGACTAACATACTAAATGTCCACATCTTTGACATTCGCTCCTTTTGCTGTTTCTAGTGAATAGACAAATTATATTCATATTATGTTTATAATTTTATAATTATTTTTTTATAATTTTATATTTTAATATTAGATTAATTAAAAATTAAATTTTTTATTTTTTATTTAATTTATACCACTTATAACTCTGATGGCAAGTTTGCGTGTTAGTAAAATTAAGTTTTTAATTTTATTTTTTAATATTAAAATTAAATTTTATAATTTTTTTATTTAAAAAAATACTTGTATTTAATAATTTATTTTTTTTATTTTATTTTTATTTATTTTACGAAGGAAGAAACTCCATCAGTGTAGATGCTATAAAGGTTTGCAGCCAAAGAGCCTAAAAAAGTTGAATTTAAGCCCCGGCAGAGGAGTGAGATAAATCCTCATGAATTTTCTTGTCTTTGGCTGGCTTTGAATATTTGATTTCAATCAAATTAAAAAGCTGAGTTTTTTTCAAGTATGCAACAGAAGTTACGAGGATTCAGAAACACTCAGTAAATAAATGAATGAATGAAATGGACAGAATTTTGCAGTTCCTTGACTTTTCAAGATTGAACTTCAAATATCATGCCGAATAGAAAGAAAGAAACCTCACCAGCTAAAAAGTCCTCTTCACTCTCCCTCTGTATTTATAAACAAGCTTTTATTTTACTTTGTATAGGTCTGAAGGGAAGCATTCTGTTTCTCAGTGTGAGGGAGAAGATGGTATTGAGGGTGAAGTTGCTCTCTATTCTTCAGCACTTGCTTACTACTTTTGCCTTCTTCCCTTCATCGTTCTTCTTTCAACCTTTCACCTGTCCAGTGCTCAAAACGCCACTACTGATCCATCTGAAGGTATCTCTCCCTGATCTCTCGAATTCTACAGTACGAGTATGAATCCTCTTGAGTTACAAACGGTACCAAAATAATCCATGTACATCGATTTTTCTTGCATCTTAATTTGTTTTTCTCTTACTTTGAAATCTTTGCGTGTACATGGCATCGTTAGCTTTAGCTATGAGATTTCTTATTTTATCACCAGGAATTTAGGCTCACACAAAGGGATGCAAAGTCAGAATAAAAAAGAATAGCCATTTTGATATCTACAGATTGGAGATGTATAAAAAAAGCTCTTAGCTTCAAATGATTTTACCAATTAAAATGTTTTTTTTTATCTTGTTTGTAGAATATATATATATATATATATATATATATATATATATGGCTGTACGACATGAAAAACCAGACTGAAAGTCTTGCTTTTCTTTCTGGGTTTGTTTTTCGTTCATATTTATGTTGATCGGAATTGCTTTTTTCAGCAGAAGAAGAAAACTAAAGAAGCTACCTGTGTATTTAATGATGTTTTCGTTAAGTAGCTAAGACCTTAAGATCACAAGTTGTTAGCCACAGAATAATGTGATCTTTTTCACCAATGCTCGTACCGATGGCTAAGCTTCCTGATATTTTATTGGAATGATAGCAATCTGAAAGAGATAAGTGGATGCGTGTGGTCTGTAAAGGGTCGCGGCACTCAAGCAATGCCCATGTTGTTAAAAAAGTGACTTTACTTTTAAAATCTTATAATTTTTATTTATCAAATCAGATTAAAAATTAAAAATTAATAAATTTAAAATCAGATTAAAATTTAAAAATTAATAAATTTCGTTAAATTTATTCAAACTCGATAAAATCAATAAAATTAAATTATTTTTATGAGTTTGAAAAAAATATAAAATTATACATTTTGATAACCAAAAACTTAATTTTTACTATAATTATTATAATTTTTTTAACTATATAAGTTATTTTTGGATTTCATTTCTGTAAAATTAAAGCATCTATTCATCCTTTATAATTTTTAATGTAAATTATTAACATATTAATTGATATATTACTTTATTTTAATTAGCAAATATATAAAATAAAAGTTATAAATTGACATGCTTGATCTTTGAAGTAATTAATGTTAAATAGTTTATCAAAATTTAAAAAGACTTATTACATTTAAATAACAAAGTAAGTGGGTGAATTGATCTGAAAAATAGAGGAAAAATATAAATAAAATAAAAATATTTGAATTTTTTTATTATTTTTTTTTTTATTATTATTATTATTATTATGTTATATTGTTAATTACTACTTGATTGAAATTATTAATATATAATTAGTTAAAATATTTTATTTATAATTCAAGTTTATATTATATATTTTATATTATGTCAAAAAAAAATATTTTTCATAACCTTGATGCCCACTATATATTTATTTTTTTTTAGATTAACGTGGGTGTCCGGATCAGCTTGCGCGCACTACGACTAATCCCACTGGCCCTGAAGTTAACGACCATGTAAGCCTCCAGTGACCATCATATGAGTAACCAAGCATTCAAACCTGAAACCACAAAGAAAATAATTTTTTTAATCCCAAATCTTTATTACTTGACTACCAACTAGATGCTATTATATTTTTAGTCGGCATTCATATGAGCAACCAAGCACTCGAACCTGAAACCATAAAAGGAATAAACCATTTAATCTCAAATCCTTACCGCTTGATCACCACCTAGATGATATTATATTTTTAGTGGGCACGCATATGGTTATTCGATTACATTTCCTAGACTGTTACGTCGTACCTTGAAATCACTTTCTTAAAAACATATGTAAATGAGTGGTATGAGTTTTTCAAAGATTCTCTTTTAGATAACATAAGAAGAAGTGAAGTGTAGATTTAATATGGTGTCCCTGCCCATATCTCCGTAGTGGATTGCAGAACCTTTTCATTTCAAAAATTACTGAAGAAAAGGGTATCATAGAGTGGATTTTTTACTAGCCATGACTATGAACATGAACATCACTATTCACTAATATGTTGTTAATTATAAAGTTTTAGTTAATCAGACGATGGATTTTAGCTGACTGATATCCTAATTATATACATAAAAAAAAAATATTTTAGGAAAAAAGAAGAACATGGGCAACTTCTTACTGTGGGTTGAAAAGCTATGGTATTCCTGGCTCAATTTTTTGTAGGCCATAAGAGCAGTGGTATGGTATTATATCCAGTCCAGTATCTGGCTAAGATTCAGTTTTACAGTCTATTTATTTTTACTTTCCAAAAGCATTTTAAAAATTAATAATGTTAAAAATAAATTAAAAAAACTTTAAAAAGAACTTTAAAATATAATTTCAACTAAAATATACTATTTTAAGGCAATTTGATTTGGAAGTCTACCTATAATCACCATAGAGTGAAAATGATTTCTCCATCAAATGAGCATGTGTAAGCATCTTAATGAGGATAAGAATTAGCACTGCTTATAAAAGTTGTTTTGTGATGGTGAGATGGTGAGTGCATTGAACTCGCTATTTGAACAATGGGACACACAAGCTGTGGGGTTATGGAACTTGAGTGGAGAGCCATGCAGCGGATCTGCCATTGAGCAAACTGATTTTGAAGACCCTGACAACAACCCTGCCATCAAATGTGAATGTACTCAGACTACATGCCACATTACCCAACTGTATGTCTCTCTTTCTCGTTTCTTTTATCTTCTAATTTCGACTTTTAGCATGACACTACAAAAAATCCACGGGTTGTTTTCCTATATTTTAATCTGCATTTAACTCTCAAGCTGTTTTCAGGAGAGTTTATGCTTTGAACAAAAGAGGGGTGATTCCAGAAGTACTAACAGCTTTCAAGTATCTTACCTTTCTGTAAGGAAACACGCCCAAGTTATAAATTTTTTGTTGAAAGATTCAAGGCTTCTTTCTAGCTCACATTGTTGATGGAATTTTGTAGAAAAATTGATCAAAATTACTTCTCTGGTCCATTGCCTGCGTTCATTGGAAATTTATCAGCATTGAAGGGTTTGTAAGTAAAGAAGTACTTCCTGTCAGAACATTTTGTTACGTTTGAAAATTTCTGTTACCAGAAAATTTTAGTATGGCGTCTCAGTGACCTTTCTTTGTTTATGTGACCAGGTCAATTGCCCACAATGCATTTTCTGGGACCATTCCTAAGGAGCTTGGCAATCTTAAGGAGCTAACTTTGCTGTAAGATTGGCCTTCTTTTGAATTAAATTTTACTTTGTTAAAGATATCTTCCATAAACATCCTCATTCTGGCACTCTTTCAGTTATGGACAGATTATAAGATTGAAGTATTATACAACTTTTATGCAAATAGGGAAAGCTTGTTCGGATGATATCTTCTGAAAAATGCCCTATATGTTTGCATTTTCAACAGGTCTTTTGGTGTAAATAATTTCTCAGGCACACTTCCCCCAGAACTGGGTAATCTTGTCAATCTTGAGGAACTGTAAGTTGTAGCAACATGTTCCCTCTAATGTAAACAATCTCCGCTCTGTAAGGATTTGTACCACATGTTGTTAACAAGATTATGACATATATGTGTGTATTGTAGCTATACTAATAGTTGTGGATTGGGTGGTGAAATTCCCTCAACATTTGCCAACCTTCAAAGATTGAGAGTCTTGTAAGGAAATCACATTCTATAAGTTTACTGCAGTTTGTTCCTCTTAAAATCCAAGGTTACTTTACCCCAGCATGGCTTACCTTGGCTTGTGTATGTTCAGGTGGGCATCGGATGATTCTTTCACAGGCAACATACCTGACTTCATAGGCAATTGGACAGGGCTTACATCATTGTAAATCATAGAATCTTCTGATTTTTCATTTGTTAGATATGTTTACAGCTACAGAGAAGAATGATTTGTTTGATTGGTTTATGGAATGCTTCTCCAGGAGATTTCAAGGGAATTCTTTCGAAGGTCCTATACCACTCAGTTTTTCCAACTTGACCTCATTGGACTCTCTGTGAGTTTGTTTATTTATATATGTAATTATCTCTGTGTCATTCATATGTTTAGCCGCTTTCAAAAGAAAACTAGTTTCAGTAATAAATGCACATAACTATACAGGAGAATCAGCGATTTAAGCAACGTGAGCTCTACCCTTAATTTTATCAAGAACTTGAAGAACTTGACCGACTTGTAAGTAGTTGATTAGTCTATCCATTCTTTTTATATGCATATGAATTTGCACTAGCTACTTGATTTTTCTCTTTGAAGGAATCTGAGGAATGCATTGATCAATGGTAGTATTCCATCTGATATTGGAGAGCTCCAAACTTTAAATAGACTGTAAGATCTTAATACATTCAGCTTGAAACGCCAAAGCCATCCATGAAATCTAATTATGCCTGTATGTTTCTTTAGTGATTTTTTCATCAATTTTTTCAGGGATTTAAGCTTTAACAACTTAACAGGCCAAGTTCCAAGTGCTTTGTTCAGGATGAGTTCTCTTGAATACTTGTAAATATCACTTAACCTTACAATAGTAGTGTTTTGATCAATTTCTTTATCTTTTTTTTTAGTAAGGAGACTCTTAGTGAAATCTTCACCTTGTTATTTTCTCTTCCATACTATTGTAATGGCCAGGTTTCTTGGAAACAATAGTCTATCTGGAACCCTCCCTGAGCAGAAGAGTGATACACTTCAGACAATGTAAGTCCTCGTATGTTTACAGCTACAGAGAAGAATGATTTGTAAATCAAAGAATATTGTAAATTGAATCTGTTGGCACTGCCCAAGCAGCGATTACATAACAGCTTCTGAAGTAGGTGTTATATCGTATCATGCTTCCATTTTCTTCTTTGGACTATACTCTGAAGCCATCATTATTTCCTTCTTTTCATATCTGAATTTAGTCAGAGTCTCATCTTATTCCAGCTCATTTTTTATCATGTGCTTACTAACCCCCTTTGATATATTTTTGTATGCAGAGATTTATCTTACAATTATCTGTCAGGAACTTTTCCTTCATGGGTAGCCTCAAATGTACAATTGTATGTGTTCCCGATCAGGGCACTTTCTTCATCCATTATTATTCAGAGTTCATCACTAAATTAATATTCTTAAACACCAAATAAATTACTACCTCTTAAGATGCAATGTCGCTGTATTCTGTCATCATGAATCTTTACTAAGTTTTACCGGTAATCTTTGTGGAACTATGCAGGAATTTAGTGGCCAACAACTTCACTTTTGACAACTCAAATATAAGGTGAAGTGACATTTCCTTTCAGGGCCGTTGTAATGAATAGTGTGCACAGTAAGCAAAACTGGTGCAATACATTACCTGTATTTGGAACCAGTTCTTTCCTCCTCTTTTTCTTTCTTATTTTCCAATTGTGATAAGCAATAAGAGTTGTTTTCTTATGTAGTGTTCTGCCTGGATTTAACTGTCTACAGAGAAATTTCCCATGCAATCGGGATACTCCACGCTGTACGCTTCTTCATCCAGTAATTTAGTTCCAAATATAACTTTTCACTGTCTGATTCAATATGAAATGCGCCTTCCTAGACCCTTCCGGTAATCATCCTAGTACTGTACAGCATATGTCTAGGCTTCGAGGACTTGGTTACATGTATAGGTGAAAATGGCTTCATGCGTTCATCAATGTGGTAGAGAGTAACTGATTTCACTTCCTTTCTTTTTATCTGTTGTAGATGCAAATTTCTCAATCAAGTGTGGTGGTCCAGAGATGAGAACCGCTGATGGCACAGTTTATGAAGCTGAAAACTCATCTCTCAGTGCAGCATCATTCAGTGTAACTAGTACCGAAAAATGGGCGGTGAGCAATGTGGGCTTGTTTTCTGATAGACGAAGTCCTGATTATGTTGAAAATACCTTGACACAAGTTCTCAGCACTAATACCCCAGAGCTCTATCAGACTTCAAGGATATCTCCTGGTTCACTTAGGTGCTTCGGCCTGGGTCTAGAGAATGGGCCTTATACTGTACATTTGTTATTTGCCGAAACTGCATTTGCGGATCGAAGCTCACAAACTTGGGAGAGTTTAGGACGGCGCGTTTTTGATATCTATATTCAGGTAGAAAATGTTTGAAACCAAATTCATACAGTACAGAACTTCTGTAATTGTAATTCCATTCTCTATGCGTTCATGTGTTTTATAGGGAAGTCGCCAATCGAAAGACTTTGACATATCAAAGGAGGCAGGTGGGGTTGAGAGATCAATTACAAGGACTTTTAATGTTACTGTATCTGAAAGTCATCTGGAAATTCATTTGTTTTGGGCTGGTAAGGGGACCTGCTGTACCCCTGTACAAGGCTACTATGGACCAATCATCTCGGCCCTCAATGTTGTTCCAGGTATAACATGTGATAACTCACCAATCGAACTTAGCATGTCCATGTTTTCCTTCTCTGGTTCTTACTGCTGTCTGTAACCGTATTTACTGCACAGGTTTTACCCCAACTGTTAGTGGGATACCACCCAGTACTCGGAAAGAGAAGAGCAGGACCGGGATGGTTGTTGGTATTTCAGTTTCTGCTGGAGTTGTGTGCCTGACCCTGATATTTGCAGTTGTTTACATCATGAGGAAAAAAGACAGTGAAGATGAGGAAGGTAAGATCATCACAATAATGATACAACTTGTACTCGTTATCGTTTATCCGATCCAAGCCTTGTTGATTCCAATATTGACTGCAGCTCTCCTCGAGCCCTCGTCTTTCTGATATGAGTGAAGAAGGACTTGATCTTGATATGCTGACAAGGGCCTTCAAATTTTCCTTGATTTTCTTGTAGCAACCTAAAATGATTTTATGCCTCGAATCTGGGATGTAATTTCCTTAGAGTAGGTCAACTGTACTTGAATGATTCACCATTTCCTGCATAGAAATTTATATGTTAGATAAAGAAAGGTATCCTAAGTAATCACTTCAATTTTTCTACCTGAATATGCAGTGTTTCCTGGGATGGGCTCTAGACCAAACACTTTTAGTTATGCCCAGTTGAGAGCGGCCACAGATGACTTCAGTCCTTCAAATATGCTTGGGGAAGGGGGATTTGGAGCTGTATACAAGGTAAGAAACGCAAGATGACTGCTCTAAATTTTATTTAAAATAAATGACAAGCTTGTGATTCAAGATTTTTTAGTTTACCTTGCAAGAGGTATGCTTTATGTTAATAAATTCTAGGACCTTTCAGGGTTTGCTTTCTGATGCGAGGGCAGTGGTTGTAAAGCAACTTTCAGTTGCATCTAACCAGGGCATGAGTCAATTTATAACTGAGATCGCCACCATATCGGCAGTTCAACATTGTAATCTTGTGAAACTGTACGGATGCTGCATCGAAGGGACTAGACGCCTCCTGGTTTATGAATACCTTGAAAACAAAAGCCTTGATAAGAATCTTTTTGGTATGAAGATGCCCAAAATACTTTGCTTACTCCCTTAAGTAACCATAGAAACTTAATTCTTTATACCCATCCAGATGATCAAAATACATAGACACAAGTTACTTTTGGTGGCTGGAGTACATGAAAAAAAAGGGCATCATGGATGGCCAAATAACTGTACTTCAATAAGATATATTATATGTTCAGATTTCAAACTCCATTTTGTTTATGGAATAGATTATGTACTAAAGCACGCATCTACTTATTATGCAGGAAAAGATGGAATGCATCTTGATTGGCCTACCCGCTTCAATATATGCCTGGGAACCGCTAGAGGGTTAGCTTACCTCCATGAGGAATCAAGTCCGAGGATTATACATAGAGATGTCAAGGCAAGTAACATTTTGCTTGATGCAGAACTCTGCCCCAAAATATCAGATTTTGGATTGGCAAAACTATACGACGACAAGAAAACTCACATCAGCACTCGAGTTGCAGGAACCATGTAAGATCTCCTTCAACCTTTTCCCCGGAGCATTCGTAATTTGCTGACTATGAACTGTGCTATAGTCTATACCACAGTGCAGGATATAGAAGCCATACGTAAAAACCAAAGGAGATTATTTGTATGTATTCCCAATAAACCTTTTCACCAAGCACATTAATTTTCTTATAGTGGCTATTTGGCACCGGAGTATGCAATGCGTGGACATCTGACTGAGAAGGCTGATGTTTTTGGTTTTGGTGTGGTTGCTTTGGAGATCTTAAGTGGGAGAGCAAATTCTGACTATAGCTTGGATGATGAAAGGGTCTATCTTCTTGAATGGGTAAAGAAAACAACACCCCTTTTTTTTGGCCGGCGAATCTTTCTTAACAAATTTATTCCTTCTCATTGTGAATTGATCGTATAATATTTCCAGGCATGGACTCTGTACGAAAGTAGACAAAGTTTGCTACTGATGGATCCAAGTGTAACAGAATTTGATGAAAATGAAGCTCTTCGAGTTATAGGAGTAGCTCTCTTGTGCACTCAAGCTTCACCAGCAATGAGGCCGACAATGTCAAGAGTTGTGGCAATGTTTACGGGGGATATCGAAGTGAGCACTGTTACATCAAAGCCAAGCTACTTGACTGATATGGATTTTAAGGATATAACTGGCAGCTTCTCGACTGAAAACACTCCAGCATTCCCTTCAACTGATGATAGCAAGAGCAAGAATAAAAGCCAGCATCACAATTCAATTGATCTTAGTCCAGGAGGTGATCAAATACACTCTCCACTAAATATCACTGAACCAAGGCTGAGTGACCTCATTGGGGATGGAAGGTAAGGGGTTAATTATTGCTACAGAGCTGCATGGTTTGCAGCCAAATAGAGTATATATAGCACTTTATGCCTTTTTTTTCTAGCCAGTTGTATGATTAGTTGTAGACATGAAAAGCTTTAAACACTAACATTTGTACAAAAAATGTACCAAGGAATCTGTGGCACTATATATGTGAAAATAATATTGTCACCAGAAAATGAAAAAAAAAAGAAAAAGATATCTTCCTGTCATAGCTCTTGCCAAGCACTCACACTTGTGAAAGAACATTATATGCCTACTATAAACAAAGTTTCAAGCAAACAATACCTAAAGTCTTCCTCCATGATTAAAATGTGCTTGCGAAGAACGCTTAATACTACTCCTCCATGATTAACAACAAGTCTTCCTCCTGCATTCATGGAATGTACAACATTGGACGGTGGCTTCTAGAGTGCCTTTGTTATGAAGGCTCGCCTTAGAATACCATTGGCTCTCTATAGATGACACGACACAAGTATTTCCTAAATTATCTTTATATTCTATTACTTTATTGCCTCCGAGGGAAAAAAAAAAACATTAAAAGTATTCATAAACAAGGTAATATTCTAGTTTTTTAAAAAAAATTGTTAGAAAAATAAAATTTTATATTTTATTTTTAAATACAATATTTTTATTTATCTAGAATTTGTACTTAGTAATACTCCAATTTTTAAATTTATATTAAGTTTGAAAAACATATTTTAAATATTTTCATAGTTTTCTTTTACAAGTTTTCATTATTATTTATATGAAAGAAAGCATGAATAATAATTATATATAACCACTTTTAGCAATGTAAAAGATTAAAATTATTTTTTACATTTTCATATTTAGTTGGTGTCATAAATTTAATTTTTATTATAAATTAAATGTAAATATTTTTAAGTTAATAATATATTTTTTATGATAATTTTTAATTTAAATGAAATTATAGTAATATTCCATAATTAAATTATTGGAAATATAAAATATTAAGATGACGATGGATCATCTCATAAGGTTAAAAGGAAGTATGGAAACTAAATTAGTAAGATCTGAACCTTTTTATTTCATCTTTTATAGCTGTATTGATTAATTGTAATCGGTAGTTGAACTTGATAATTTATTTTAATAATTTTTTATTAGGTTAACATGTTGTAAAAAAAATTGATATTGTATTAATACTTGATTTTATTTAAAAAAAATTAGTTTTTTACTAAAATAAAAAAAAACCAAAATTGAAAGTAAAGGAAAAATAAAACCTTTTTTAACTCGGCATTGCTCGTTTAAAGCTTTCTGGGGGAAATGCATTGAGGTTTTTCTCAATTTCTATTTTTAACTTTTTAGTTTGGAAATTATGCGTTTTGATCTAAATTTTTATTTTATTAACATTTAAATCTCTAGTTTTAAAAAAATCATCAAAAAACAGAAAAGTGAAGAGAATCATTAGATGTCTATATTTTAAAAATAAAAAAGAAATATTCTATGCGTCAATGAATTTTATTCAATAAAATGAGTTCTATTGAAATATTTTTTACCCTTCATCTGGCTATTCAAAATAAATTTGAGTTGAGAAAAAAAATTAATTTAATTTTATATTTTTAAATCAATTTATATGAGTTTTGAATTAAAAATTTAGTAAAGTTTCAAGAATATCTTAAGAATGTTCCAAAACTTGTAGCCTGATATTTCAATCATGGAAGATTATGAAAAATATTGTATACGATGACATGCCACCCGCCTTTGTCATCCAATATATATATATATAGTGAGGCATGCTTGGCTTTCTAGGTAGAGGCTAGATGTGTGGGACTGATCTCTTTTATTTTTTGTTTTTTGTTCTAATTTTGATTATTTAAAAAATTAATTAATAATCTTCTTTTTATATATGTTTTACTCTGCATTAATTTTTTTATTTTCATTTAAATTAATATTCTCTCTTTTATTTTTTTAAATTATTTTTTTACTTTTTCATACAAATAAAAAAATATTTTTTTCTTGAAGAAAAGATACCTCTAAGATAAAAAAAAAAAAAAACATATAAATTAAAAGGAAAAGTTGAGGTTAAATATTTTTAATACTTATATGTTTTTTCTTTGATGAAAAAGATTGGCTTTTATTTTAGTATTTAATTAACATTAATAACTCTTTTTCGGTTTATTAATTCATATATTTTTAAGTTTATTTCATTAAATGTAAACAACATTTTTATGTTTTCCAATTAAAAAAATTATTATACAATAAAACAAATGAAATAGTTATATTAAAAATTAATTTGAGATCCTATCAGCAGTATAGCGTTAACAATTGTTTTTCATATTTATCAATATAAATAATTCTCAATTTATATTTATTAAATGTATGCATGATGTTTTCATTTCATAATTATTACTTTTTAAATATAAAAACACATTAACATCTATATATTTATTTTTTATTTAAAAAATATTTAACCAACCTGTAGCGAAATGTCAAAAGAATGCCTAATGAAGTTAAGCCTATATTAGCTTATTTACTTCGCGGATGTATAGGACAATAGTAAAGATTTTTTTTCAAATTATTTTTCATTTTAAAATATATTAAAATATTATTTAAAATTTATTTTTAATTTTAGTTCATCAAAACAATATAAAACTCTGATTCAATGGCAACGTCTTTGTCGTGCCCATGGAAATTTGTCCATTTTAATTGTTTTAACACAAAAGCTAAAATTCCAAGACAAGACAGCTCAACATCCTACATAATTTATAATAATTAATTCTGAGCTTTTAATAATCCATCCATGAGAGTGTACACATGGAGCATGATGTTGGCCCACCGAAAAAAAACTAACCGTTAGAAGCTTGAACGTTAAGCCTACCGTTAGAAACCACATTCTTTAAAATCCCCTATCCGAAGCCTCCAGTTCATTCATGAGACCAACAAAGAAAAGGAGGAAAACCTTCCTGCAGTGTCTCTCTTCCCTCTCATCTAGTGCATAAACCTGCTTCGACTCTCCTCTCTCTCTCTAAACAGCCTTGAAGGGAATATTGGAAAATGGGTATGGTAGTGGTGATCTCTTTGCCTTTGATAATCTTCTGCTTACTTCTTGGTTTTGGATGCTACTACTTGGGGAGATACAAAGGAAGACAAGATGTCCGTACAAATGCTCAAGTTTTTGGGGTACCTATTCCACCACCTGGTACTGCTAGTAAACCACCTCCTCCAACTCATTCCAAGCCAGGAAACTTGGAGAATGTTTAGACTTTTTTCGCTTTCCCTTTATTGCTTTACTTTGCACTTTCTTGTATGGTGTGTAGAGAGTGATTTTTTTATGCGGTTGAGATGTGTGGTGTGGTTGTTGAGCATTATTTGTCCATGAATTTTGAGGTAATGAATTGAGCTGTAATATATGGGTTGGCGATTGTATATTGGTTGTCATATGAATGAAGCCGATAAAGATTTGTATTTTTACTTTTTGGTTGATTTATTTCTTCTGGAATGCAATTTGTTAGTCTCAGCTCATTTTGTTCCACAAAGTGCTTGGCATCTTTCCAAATGATGCCTCCATCAAGAGAAGAGAAAAAAGACAGCTTTCCTTTCCTGCTAGCGGGGGAGATTGAGAAGAAGGGGCCCCCATAGGGAAAACAAGACATCTTAAAATAACTAGGAAAAGGAAATTATGCTATTATACAAAAGAATTGACTACAAGAGTCAGTCCTGTGTGCTCTGAAACTTATCGCTAAATCTGAGGAATCTTCATGTAAGCTCCTATAACAGTGTAATTGAATCAGTCACTTCAGGTTCTTTGAGCCTCTATTTTCCTTTTTTCCCAAAAAAAAAAAGATTTTGGAGATGCCTAAAGCTTACTCTCAAACTCTATGTTTACACAGTAGTAATATCCAGGGTGTAATTCTGGACGTGAAGAATAAACCCTTCCGCAATCCTTTCCAGAAACCATGTCAAGATTACCCTTCTCAGAACCTTTCCTGCTAGCGGGGGAGATTGAGAAGAAGGGGCCCCCATAGGGACATCTTAAAATAACTAGGAAAAGAAAATTATGCTATTATACAAAAGAATTGACTACAAGAGTCAGTCCTGTGTGCTCTGAAACTTATCGCTAAATCTGAGGAATCTTCATGTAAGCTCCTATAACAGTGTAATTGAATCAGTCACTTCAGGTTCTTTGAGCCTCTATTTTCTTTTTTTCCAAAAAACATCTGAGGAATCTTCATGTAAGCTCCTATAACAGTGTAATTGAATCAGTCACTTCAGGTTCTTTGAGCCTCTATTTTCCTTTTTTCCCAAAAACAAAAAAAAGATTTTGGAGATGCCTAAAGCTTACTCTCAAACTCTATGTTTACACAGTAGTAATATCCAGGGTGTAATTCTGGACGTGAACCATGTCAAGATTATCAATCAATGTTAAACACGGTAAGCCATTCCTACTTCAATCAAAGATGTATGAGGAACCCCTAGTGCTGTTGATGGGCTCCGACAGTTCCGTCTCAAGAAACCATATACAATGTTAATGGCAAATTTCTTCACAAATGATGATGTTTCCCTTGCCAAGACACAAGTATTGCCCATCATATATGCCAGACCAGCTTCCCGGGCATCCTCCAGGTACTCCAATTCCTTACTATTGTCGACACCACAAAATCTTACTCTCCTGCATCTAGCCAACCCAGCCCCAGAACCATTCTCAACTCTCATGCTAACATCATCCCGTAGACAGTCTGATTCATGCTGATTTACAGGCATTTCACTTACTGAGTCTGATTCGTGCTGATTTACAGGCATTTCACTTACTGAGTCTCTAGCATCACCGTCATCACTCTCATGCTGCAAGAACACTCTCACAGTTTCAATCAGGTCAGTCTCGAAAGCGTAACTATCCTTCCTTGCATCCTTATAACCAAATCTGACAATGCACCGATAGAGACGGAACTCTGCAGGACCAATGCGGCTTACAATAAAACGCTGATTGGCAGAAACTCTTGGAGTTGTCAGGAATTGAAATGTTACAAATATGAGGACTTGGTGGAAGGCGGGAAAGTTGGTGACAAAATGTGAAAACATTGGCGGGATCCCTGAGAGCACATTTGTATAGATGAGGCCAACACCACGAACACGATTTATACCAACATTTGGGCCCAGACTAAGAAACATATCCAAAGATGTTCTGTTATGTGACTCGAATGATTGTTTCTGTAACGTCCCATAGTGCCAGATGTACATCACAGACAAAACTAT